TCCCTGTGTGATTCCCTGTGTGACTCCCTGTGTGACTCCCTGTGTGGTTCCCTGCTTGACTCCCTGTTTGACTCCCTGTGATTCCCTGCTTGACTCCCTGTTTGACTCCCTGCTTGACTCCCTGTTTGATTCCCTGTTTGACTCCCTGTGTGATTCCCTGTGTGATTCCCTGTTTGACTCCCTGTTTGATTCCCTGTTTGACTCCCTGTGTGATTCCCTGTGTGATTCCCTGTTTGACTCCCTGTTTGACTCCCTGTGAGCACACCCTGATCCTGGAATCAGCACTGGCACCGCCACGGGATGAGGACAAACACACATCAGGCAGTCTTGTTGTGGATATGGATTCACATACGGAATTATGGAAAAGTTCTCAAGGTGCAGATATGTTAAATATTTGATTTAAATGCTGTTGGATGCCAGGTTATTTTGGTCATCTTCTCCTTCCTCAACCCCTCCAAAGAAACCTAAATCATCCTGCTGCCAAATCCAAAATAAAGACTTCTCTGTACACCACTGCACTAAAAACTCATTTAGGCCCCAAAATCTTGCTTAATTTTATATATTCAAAATGAGTAAACACTGGAAAAATTCTCCAGATTTGTTCAATGCCAAAGAACATTTGATGCAATTCTGTTCTTTGAACTCTGAGATTATTTTATCTTCTTAGTTTCCCTTGGTAATTATTCTCCCTTTACCCTTAGGTTTACTATTAATATTAATGTCACACACTGACAGCAAGGGAGTGACAGAACAGCAACTCTTGCCCAAATGGTTGAATCTTCTCAGTTTAACTGTTTTATATTGTGTTGTGAGCCAGCTAAGTCTGAAGTGAGTGGTAAGGTATGTCTGTTATATCCAGGGAACATTGCCATCTTAGGCATGAAATGATGTGCAGTATCCTTAGCCCGTGACCTCCCTTGAGATTTTCTCAGCAGCAGTGCTGAGAAATGAAAATACAACATTTAGTATGATTTGTAGCTTTAAAATTCAATTATCACCCTACCTAGCTGGTACCTGGCAGAGCACCATGATCTCAGAAGTCTCTTTCACAGTCACAAGAACTTCCCACGTATTAATAAACCTTATTTCAATGTGTAGTCACTAACAGAAGCAGAGAAACTCTGGAGGCAAGCAGCTCTTTCTGCCCGAGAGCTCCAGATTTCAGCCAGGCTCATTCTCCCCTAACTCTGAGCAGGTTCTGTGTGTGTTTTACCCAGAGCCCTGCATTTCCCAGACTGCAGCCCAGCTTCACTGGCAGAGCCTGCTCCTCCTATGCAGCAGCAAAACTGTGCAGAAACACAATACCTCAAAGCTCAGCCACCCCTCCAGCACTGCCTGCTCCTCGGGAGAGCAGAATCCTCCTGCAAAGCCTCTCCAAAGGAGCTCAGTGGGACTCCAGGTCTCAGGGGGACACATCCCTTGGCTGCCACGGACCCACGGCTCTGAGCGTGGCTGTGCACCTCGGCAGAAGAGCTGGTTACAAGGTCCCTCCAGGAACAGGAACACCAGCAAGTTTTTACTTCTTTTTGTAGCAATTAATCTTGCTATCTTCAGGCACTGACAAACTTTCAGGGTACTCAAACTTCAGGTATTGCTCTTGTTACTGATGTACACTACCCTTGTTTCATCTTTGCCTACCGAGTACAATACATTAAAAAACCCACCAAAGCCCCTGCTTTACTTGCACAGAGGATCTCCAACAGCAGCAACTCACAACTCGCTCTCTAACAACGCAGAGAAATAACCTCAGCCTGTACGAGCAGTTTTACTGTACAAGCAGGGTTACTCAGCACAGTAAAAGCTGTTTATACATGTAAATATTGTATGGTGAACTGCTTAGTAACCAAATTTATGCTTTTCAGATGATTTTTATTTTGGCATTTTTAAGATAGCACCAAATCATTCTGAAATTGTCTTTAAAATATGTTTGATCATTTTGAAAATCAAATTAATAAGCCAACTCTGATGATTATATTTTCCCTAGACTCTGCTGCATTGTCATGCCTTCATGTTGCCCAACCAGAGCTTGTTTCAGGAAAACATTAATTTTTTTTCCTTAAAATCTAAACCACTACCATTCATGAAGCACAACCACCCAATGCAATGCACGCTTCATAATTCAAATATTATGTGCTGCATCCTCTCATGATTTATTTAACTTCTGTGTCTAAACCCTCAGCCAGGGATTTTCAAACTTTCCAACCCACAGATCCCTCAATGGTCTGTAGCCATGCACCAGAATTCATTTCTAAGAAAACCAGACTTGATTCTTTCACTTACTTCCCACAGACTCCCTGCACTGCAGACTAACTAATTACCTAGGGCTGGCTGGTAACATGAGAGATTAAATTAATACATGTAGTAGGGCACTGGTGCTTGAGAAATTATATTCCATATTTAAACTCAACAGCATAAATATTGTTCGTTACTTTGAACGTGGTACATTTCCTTCTTCAGAAACAGCAGCAATCAGTAGCACAGTGTAGAATTTTAAAATGCAGAGCAATTTTATTCTGTCACTGTAGAAAACAACACACCCCACAATCCAGCAGTGAGTTGGGATTCAATAGGTAGGATTTAAACCAACGTTACAGTCTGGTCTTTATAAAATTGGCTACTGGCATGTTGGGAGTAAGTGTAATGTGAATAATTCAGATGTGGGTTTGCTACAGAAGTGATGAAAGTGAGAAAGCCCACATCATACCCAAAACCTGAGCACAGATGAACAAAATAAAATATTTCTGCAGTGCCACTGTGGCCTTTCAGCAATTCTTACAGCTGGTATTGAGGGGAACTTTGCCTTTGACTGGCTCAGACCAAGCTGGGTGGTGTGGTAGCTCTGCCCCCAGAGTACTTCTAGGAGAGGGGATCAGATGGACAGTGAAAGGAACAGCAAGAATGAGAGGAGAAATGGCTTAAAAGCTCCCAAGGAAGCTCAGTTATTTGGTTTCCAAAGGATGGGCTAAGAGACAACTGCCAGAAGAAGAGGCTGACGCTATTCAGAGATGTTCCTCAGCGTTTCCAGGAGCTGCAGTGCTGCTCTGGGAAACCATGGCCCAGAGTGTCACAAGGTTAAGGGTTACCTGGGCACAGCCTGGAACAGAGGGGACCAAAGCCCAGCCCAGGGCTGTGACAGGAGATAAAATACCTGCTGCACCCCAGGCTGGCCTGCACAGCAGCTCCAGAGCAGCCCTGGGACTATGACAGGAGATAAAATACCTGCTGCACCCCAGGCTCATGCACAGCAGCTCCAGAGCAGCCCAGGGCTGTGACAGGAGATAAAATACCTGCTGCACCCCAGGCTCATGCACAGCAGCTCCAGAGCAGCCTGCAGCCCACAGGTTTGCAGGTTCATGAGAAGAATGTGCACTGGTGGAATCGGGGGCCTGGCAGAGCAGCACCCCAGCTGGGGACACTCAGCTGCCACGGCTGCACCCACAAGCCACACACGGCCCTGACGGCTTCACACTCGTCACTTATTTAACAAAGTTGTTCCAACCATTGCCCACCCCACAGCTGGGCTGCTGGAACACAACGTTTCTGTCCCTCGGGAGAGGATTTATTTGCAAAGACTTACACACCAGCAGCAGAGGGGCTCAGCCTGAGCTCCAGGGCAGTACTCACCAGAGGATCGGTGACCATGGGGGTGAATCCCCACAGCGCTTGAATGCTGCAAAAATCATTTCAGTAGAATTTAGCCTCTGTGAAAATTGTTCAGGAAGAAGAGAACATTATTTACAAAACCTATGTCAAATCCTTTCGACTTTGCTTGCCCTGAGCGCTGTGTTTAGATTAGGCTTGGAAACAAGGTGTGGTAGAAAGGATCTAAATGTCACCATCATGTGAATAAATAAATTGAAATAAAGAATTGTAAAGAACTAAGATGCAACAGCAAAGACTGGAGGGTGCCAAAACAACTACCGATACTTTCGCGGCTAATAGCAAGTCCAAGGGACAACTTCTGCAAAGAGCGGCACTAGCCGGTCCGTGTGACTCAGCCCTGCCGGTCACGGGCCACCGAGCAGCATCAGCACCCGGCAAGGGCCGCACGTCCGGCCCGAGCCGCCTCGGCAGCTTGGGGGACACCGGGACACGGGGCTGTCCCGGCGGGCTGCCCCCGAGCCCCGAGCCCCGAGCCCCGAGCCCGGCGGCGGGGCCAGCGGGGCGGCAGGAGCCCGGGGCACCGAGCCGGCTCCCCGCGTCCCGGCACGGCCCGGCCCGGCCCGGCACGGCACGGCACGGCACAGCACGGCCCCGGCTGCACGCGGCGATAGGGCGGGGGTGCGGGACACCGGGCCGGGCAGCGCCGGGAGCGGGCGGGCTGCGGCACCGGCACGGCGGCACCGGGCTGCTGCGGGACCCCGGCGGGAGAGCCGCGCGGCGACCCCATCCCCATCCCGATCCCGATCCCGGTCCCGGTCCCGATCCCGATCCCGATTCCAGTGCGGAGGGCCCCGGGCGGAAGGGGACGCGCGGCGATCCCTATGCCGATCCCTATGGCGATCCCGTTCCCGGTCCCGGTCCCATTCCCGCTCCCGGGCCCGGGCCCGGCCCCGCGGCGGGCGGGAGTCACACAGGCGGGGCAGGCCGGGGCGTGGATCGCCGCTCGCTGGCGGCAGCCAATGGGAGCGGGTGACGCCGCGCCGCAGCCAATGGGCGGGGGCGGGCCGCGCGCCGCAGCCAATGGGCGCGGGCGGGCCGCGCGCCGCAGCCAATGGGCGCGGGCGGGCCGCCATGGGCCGCGGCTCCGCCGTCCCGCCCCGCCGCGCCGGGACCGGGCCGGGGCCGGGGCCGGTATCGGCCGCGCTGCCGCCCTCCCGCCCTCCCTCCCTCCTTCTCCTCCTCAGCCCCTTCCTCCTCCTCCTCCTCCTCCTCCTCCTCCTCCTCCTCCTCCTCCTCCTCCTCCTCCTCCTCCTGCTCGGCGCTGCCCGGCGCCGCTCCGCAAGGCGCGGCCGCCGCTTCCCCGCCCCGGCGCGGGGCCGTCCCTCGTCCCCTCCCTCCGCCCGCCCCGTCCCCGCCCGCCGCGGCAGCCCCGAGCGGGAGGCGGCGGAGGGAGGCGGGAGCCATGCGGGAGTACAAGGTGGTGGTGCTGGGCTCGGGCGGCGTGGGCAAGTCCGCCCTCACCGTGCAGTTCGTGACCGGCTCCTTCATCGAGAAGTATGACCCCACCATCGAGGACTTCTACCGCAAGGAGATCGAGGTGGACTCGTCCCCGTCCGTGCTGGAGATCCTGGACACGGCGGGCACCGAGCAGTTCGCCTCCATGCGGGACCTCTACATCAAGAACGGGCAGGGCTTCATCCTGGTGTACAGCCTGGTGAACCAGCAGAGCTTCCAGGACATCAAGCCCATGCGGGACCAGATCATCCGCGTCAAGAGGTACGAGCGGGTGCCCATGATCCTGGTGGGCAACAAGGTGGACCTGGAGGGCGAGCGCGAGGTCTCCTTCGGGGAGGGCAAAGCGCTGGCCGAGGAGTGGAGCTGCCCCTTCATGGAGACCTCGGCCAAAAACAAAGCGTCCGTGGACGAGCTGTTCGCCGAGATCGTCAGGCAGATGAACTACGCGGCGCAGCCCAACGGGGACGAGCCGTGCTGCGCCTCCTGCGCCATCCTCTGAGGGCGGCGGCGGCCCCGCGCCCGGCGGGCACGCTCGGGGAGACGGCAAAACCTTCATCGTGGTGGAAATGTGGCTTTTCTCGGCGTCTACGTTTCGTCCAGTCTCGGTCATGGCATGTTTCCTGTCAGTGTCGGCGGCGGCCGCGGGAGCAGCCGGTGCCGCCGCCCGGGGAGCGGAACCACGCGGGGAGCGCGCCCCGGGACAGCCCCGGGACAGCCCCGGGACAGCCACGGGGAGCCCGGCCGGGAGCGGGGCCCGCACCCGGGACAGCCCCGGGATAGCCCCGGGACAGCCGCGGGGAGCCCGGCCGGGAGCGGAGCCCGCACCCCCGGGCCAGCGGGACCCGCACCCCCGGCACAGCGGAGCCCGTACCCCCGGGACAGCGGAGCCCGCATCCCCGAGCCGGTGGGATCCGCACCCCGGGACAGCGGAGCCCGTACCCCCGGGACAGCGGGACCCGCACCCCCGGGACAGCGGAGCCCGCACCCCCGGGACAGCGGAGCCCGCACCCCCGGGCCGGTGGGACCCGCACCCCCGGCCCAGCGGAGCCCGCACCCCGGGAGCGGGGCCCGCACCGGCGCCGCTCGCCGCGGTCTCTATGCAAGCGGGAGCGGTGCGGGGCCGTCCCGCCCGGAGAGTTGCACATGGAACCGGGACTGGGACCCGATGGTGCTGCCGGGCACGGGGCGCCGGCAGCGCCGCCGATGTCCCTGCGATAATTGCTCTATTTTGTTTACTGCTGTATCGGATGGGAGTTTGCAGGAGAGTGCTAGCGTGGTGGTTTTTCTCCTGGTTTTATTTGTTTGTTTTTGGTTTTTTTTCTAAATCAGCTGTGAAAATGTTACAAATCTGCACAATTTTTTAGGTGTGCGTGTGTGTGTGATTTCGTTGTGGTTTTGGTTTTTCCTTTGGCGGGGAGGGGGGGGTGGTGCTGTTTTTGCCGCGGGGTTTTGGATTTGGGTTGGCAATACCTGATTTTGATGACTAGCTCTCTCAAGTGCAAAGACTTCCCATGAGCGATGCAGGGCCAACAGCAGCCCTGTGTCTGTAGAGTGCCTTCAAAACTCAGCTGTTCCAGCCGGTGCCAACCTGTGAAAGCTCCACAGAATCCCATTATCTACTACTCCAAAAACTACTTAACAGTTTCCTTGCAGTAATCACACCGAGCAAGCCAGGACAAAAGGGCCTATTGTTGGTGGAATTTATTTCTTATTTCCATCTGAGCCTTTTAACTGTTATTTCCATGTCTTGCAAGTTTGGGCTTCATTTACTTCAAATTTACAAGAATTTAGCCTTTTGGGATTTTTGGGTGGGGGGATTTTTTTTTTTTTGGTTCTATTTCCCTTTGATTTTGTTTTTGTCATGGGATGTGCCTCCAGCCAGCAAAGAAGGAAATCTTCTCGTTGTGATGTACCAAGAAAACTCTAACAACTGTCATTTTAACTGCAGACATGCATTGAAAAGATGTCTGTCCATTTGAAGAATTTTAATACAAATGCTGTTTTTTAGAAGACAACTTTGTGCATTGTTATGTATCACATGAAACACTGACTTTCACACAGGCTCTTAATCCAGATTTATATCTCAGTAGCAGTGAAAAGTGGAGGGGTCGCTTTAGCTAAGAACAGTGGTGAGAAAAGGCAAACCACAGGATTGCTGTTTTACCTGATATTTAGCCATTTTTGATGCAGGTTTTTGCTCGTGTTTGGGTCCTGGCCCAGTGCTGCCGAGCTGTGGGAAGCAGGCTGTGCTCAGAGGCAGCCTTAGGAAGGCAGTGTGGCCTTCCTGCAATGGCCCTGTCAGATCAGGCCCTTTTCCCCTCCTGGAAGCAGTGGTTTATTGGGGTGAAGTGCTAAAGGTCAGTTATTTATGAAATTCAAACTTTTGGTCTCATTGCATTATCACTTTAAAATGATAACCAGACCTTTTTGTTTTCTGGTTTGCAGAGGGGCTGGGCTGGGAGGAGACCTGTGCCTCCCCTGAGCTGGGAGGTCCAAGAGCTTCTTTACCTGTTCTCTTTGCCCCTTCTTTAAAGGTCTGCACACAAAACCTGCAGCTCTGTTTTTCCTTCTCCCCCCTGTCCCAAGAAGTCTTGAAATTATCTTACATCTCAAAAACAAAGGTTGAGCAATGTGTAAAGGGGTTTTTAATCAGGCCAGCTGAAAAGTGACTGCCACGATTCCTCTGTGATTCTGGTAATTTCTCCTTTTTAAGCAGGAGAATTTTGTGCCTCAGCGCTGGGAGAGCAGTGTGTAGTGCCAGTTTGATGCAGTTTTGAAATGAAAATTCCATTTGTGCTTTAGTCACAATTGGATACTTTTTGCAGTAACATCAAGGATGTGCTGCAGATGTTTGAGCTTGTGTGCTCAGGGTGTTTCTCCTGCCCAGTTTGGGGCAGCAGTGGGGCTGTGCCAGCCTCAGGGACAGCCCCAGTGAAGAGCAGAGGAGGAGGAGGCAGCCCCAGCGCTGGGGCCTCGCTGCTGCCCGGGATAGACACATCACTTCACCCCCGTGTTTAGGGGAAACTTGAAAACCTCACTGCAGCTCATCTTCCAGGAATTCCTGAAGGTTCCTTAGAAGCCAGAGGACTCCCATGCTGGGAAGACAGGGGAATGACACTGACAGAAGGGGTTTCTTTTAACCCAAGTGTACTGCATTGAAAGCCGAGGAAGCTTGGCTGCTGCCACATCTGCAGCTGGCAAACTGCATGTCTGATGTTAAAAAAAATAAATGTACATCTCAGTTACTGCCATGGTTCAATTTTGCCTTAAGTTCAATGGGAATGTACAGTTTTTAGCACCCACCAGGCCTTGATCAGTGCACTGACAGCAACTTGATGTGGTTGATAAAAGCAGGTATTTCTTGTGCCCTCCCAGGAGCCAGCAGATCCCTCACGTTCCCCAGTGCCTGAGGAACAAAGCAGAAGTGGGTGTTTGTAGCACACAAAGTCCAGCTTTGCTCGGCCTGGCAGAGCAGCTGGGGGCAGCCAGCTGAGCTCTGTGTTGTGCTGGGCCTTCCAGTGGTACATTCTGGGTTTGGCCAAAAAGCTGCATTTCTTAAACAGTGGAGCATTTAAGCAGCCGTGGCACTGTCTGATCAGGGTTTTGAATGTATTTAGGCATTCCGTGTTCTCTGTGACTGCTGAGGACAGTACGAAATGTAGAGCTCAGTGGTCTGATCTTCCAAATACTCTGAAGTGTTTTGGTGCTTGTCAAACATAGGCCTTGTCTATAAAAAGTCTGAAAAAAATCATCCTGCTTTAACTTGACTGAGTGATGAAAGCTATATTAGCTTCGACACTTGAGGGAAATGTTGTATCAATATAAAGGTACTCTTTATTCCTTTTCCCTGTGGGAATATGTTGCACCCGTGTCAATACAGAGGTGGTATATCACTCTTTTCACAGTGAGAATTGCAAATATTTACTTGTTTTGGAAGAAAAATTACATTCCCAGCCAAAATACTTCCTGACATCGCAGAAGTTGTGTAAACAAGGCCTTGGTTTAAGGCTGGTCTTGTGACCACATATTTTGCTGTACATAATGATTGTATTTTTAAAAATCCGAGCTTGTTCTGTGGCAAGAAGTGTCTGCAGCCGGTGTCTGTGACTGTGACCTGTGCTCAGCCCCGGCCAGAGCTGCGTGCTGCTCACCCACGCTCGGGATTCCTGCTCGGATGGTGCTGGAGCTGCTCTGGAACTCTGTGCCTGTGGGATCCTGGTGGTTCTGCTTCTCTCGAAAGAATGTACGGCGAGCTGTTTGCGAAGGGCATTTTAAATAAAGGGCAGCTGGCTCTTTATGACTTCCTCACTTGGGTACTCATTGTGTGCAGGTGTTGTTGGGGCTCAGATTTCCTCCAGGAGTGACAAAATGCAGAAACGTGCACGTTCTGTCAGGATTCCGTGCTGAAAGGGGTGGCACGGGTGCCTGGGGTGCGTGGGGAGCAGCTGGGGCTCTGCTGCCATCAGAGGCTCTGTCCCTGCCCAGGTCTGTGCCCCTGGGCAGAGCTGCTCCTGGTCTGCTGAGATCTGAGACCTGCTCTGGAAGCAAACCGAGCAGATGAGCTCAGATCCAAGGGGAAATGGTTTTAAATATTGATATTCACAGCTTACAGCCTGTTCCTACAGTGTTCCCAGCCTCGTGCAAAATGTGTGTGTCCAAGACTCTCCCTCCTGTCATTGCTGCAGCAGTGTTGGAGAACCTCCTCCTTGCAGGAATCCAGCATCTGCCCAAACTGCAGAACTCTGTGTCTGGGGCTGACAGGCTTTGGTAGCCATGTGTGCAGCAGATGAGAGGGATGTGAGAACAAACTTTCCTTGCAAAAGGCAAAAGACATTCAAGTGAGTTGTAGTGACAAGAAATGGAGTGCAAGTGTATTGCTGGGGCTGTATGTGTTGGGGTTTTGGGCTTTTTTGTTGATTTTGTGTTTTAATTTGTGTTGAGTTTGTTAGTCTGTCATCAGAAATCCTGCTGTGTTTCCCAAGGAAGAGTCAGCGTGTGTGTGTGTGACCTGACTTCACTGGAACCAGAATTCCTCCCTTTCCACAGATGTTCTCACCTCAGTGACCTCAGTTCTGGTGCATTCCTGTGGGACAGTCATTATGGTGCTGAAGGAGCCCCAGCAAAACCTGGTCGAGGATGATGAGCAGAGGTGTTCCTGCAGAAAGCTCCAGAGCAGTTTTCTCTGGGGCTCTTTTAAATTTCTGCAGGGTACAACTGCTGCAGCCGACACCGGGGCTGCTTTGCTGCTGTCCGTGCCAGAGGTGCATCTTGTGCACAAAGCAAGAGCTCAAATCCTCAATCTGCACCACCAGCGAGTCCCAGATCCTGCCTAAACCACTGTAAAATTGGAAGTCAGTTAACCATTGCAAGTCATTCGAGTAAATCTTAAAATATTGAAAGCAGCTGTTCTGTATTGACTCTGTTTTTTTTGTTTTGGCAGTCTTGGGTCTTTTGGAGGTTTGGGTGAAGAGCAGACTGGTCAAGAAGCCACAGCTTTGTTTTGTAGTCCTTGACAGAGATTTTTAAGAAAATGGTGCCTGACATGGAACTTCAGCTGCAAGGATTCAAACCCCACTTATTTCTACAAAGTTCTGTAAGGGCACATGATAAAAAGTGCTTAGTTAATAGATTTGGTGTCCAGGTACAGACAGATCCCAGATGTTTCTCCTCTGCATGACAGACCAAAATGATTGTGCAAAAAATGCTGCAGCAATGAGACTGGATAGAATGATCCAAAATTGCTACAGCTCTTGCCTTTTGAAACAATCATGTTAAGTTCTTGCACTAGGATGAACGGGGATGTTTTAGGTTGCTTTTGAGGATGGTTGTAAATGGACTTCTGGGTGAAAATGATCTGAACTCAAAGTTGGCTGTTCTTTCCTCGGGTGGCTGTGAGATAGCTGTGGGGTGGCTGTGGGGTGGGATCTGCCAGGGAGGGCTGTGGGGTGGCTATGGGGTGGGCGTGGGGTGGGCTATGGGGAGGGCTGTGGGGTGGCTGTGGGGTGTGCTGGAGGCAGGACACACAGTGCCAGCTTCCCCAGGTGCCAGACACGTGTGGGGCAGGGCAGGGAGCAGGATGTCAAGCTGGGGAGATGGGCTCCATTCTTCTGTTTTTGGTATAAAACATCCTTTTGTGTGTGTATTATGGATTTACTGCGTTTTTCCCCCCCTTACATTGCTAAGCAGATTCAAATGTGCAAATATAATTTGTACAATGTGTGTTCTCCACCAAGGATGAATTTGATGTTTAGACTGAGGTTCCCTACACCACCAATCACCAAAATCTCTTTTAAGCTGTGTGGAACTTTCTAGTGATGATTGTTGCAATGTGACTCAGGGGGCTTGGGAGCTGTGTGTGCTGAAGGAGGAGAGGAGTGATAATTTTATCCCCCGAATGAACCACAGCAGTATCACGTACCCCCTTTCACACGGGGAGTTTGCTGCCAGGTTTACTGGTGATCACCAAAGTTAAGATGAAAGCATTCTAACAAAGTGCTTGAGTCATTGGGTTTCTAATGTTTGCAATCTTGATTTCCCTTCTTTTTGGGATACTCTGCTGCATCCCAGATTGGCTGTCTATTTTCTGCTGGGTTTCTTGTTTCAAATGTTATGTTTGTTTTAGTGTGGGTTTTGCTTTCCCTTTTGTTGTTGGATCTTTTGCTTTCCCCTTTAATTAAAGGAAAAAGTAGAGAGGAGATTTCACATCTGAGTGGCTGTGTGGCACAAGCTGCACAGATTCCAGAAATACATGCCATGTCTCCACACATTTTTGCAATAAAGTTTAAGGAGAACATTGTATGTTTAAGGTATTTCTAAGGCCTGGACTCTCAGCAGAGAAACTGCTTGGAAAAGATTATTTCCAAAAGAACTGGGTCGGCCTGGAGTGAGTTAGAGTTCACAGATACTGAGGCATTTATTTCCTTACAGCATTACTGTGCTTCAGCCTCTGCAGTGACAGTTACAGATTGCTCAGCATAAATATTTATGCATATGTACAAAGTCGTATCTGGTATCCACAATTTGGGAAACATCCACATTTTTCTACTTCTAGCACAGAAAATAAGGAACTGTGTGCCTGACTCGCTCAGCATCAGACCAGTAGCATAGAAATTGAGTGTGTGTTTATTTAGCCAATTATAAGCACCCAAAAGGAGTTCTCTGGATTCTCTTCAAGCGCTTTTGACCTGGCACAGATTAGTTGAGCATTGCTAAACCAGGAGGTCCCCATGGTGATTAAAGGTGAGGCCTTGGCCTGTCTGACCCGTCTGGTTTGTGGGCAGCTCTGTCTGCAGGGGAAACCAGGCTTGTGGCAGCTCTGCCACCTCGGGGACAGGGGGCCAAAGCTGCTGAGAGCCCAGGGACAGAAATTCCTGCACTCCTCTCAGGCTTTGGGAGGCTGGGGTTGCTCAGTGTGCGCTGGTGCAGCTGTTCCAGGTGTGCTGAGGCACCCAGTCACCACTCTCAGGAGTTAACAGCAATTAACTGATGAGGAACTGGAGTTCATTTGGAAAACCTCTTTGTGCATACTCATGTGGGGACATAAACTGTGTTATCCCAGGATGGAAATGCACCTAAGCGAATGTGTTTGGTGCCCCCAGTGCCAACAACAGAATTGTTAATATAAATTCATTACCAAAGTTGTTTGTGCACTGACTTAACACTGTTTGAATTTGAACTTGACGTATTATCTGATTCTGTGGATGTGTGTCCTTAATTCTCCATTCTTTTGTAACCCCATTGAAATCAGAGCCTTATTTAAGCAAATTTAACCGCAGCCTGGATTTAAATATTTCACATGCACCTAGTAGTGTGATTATTTTTTAAAAGCTGTAATTGCATTATAAAAGAAAGCCTTCCTTCCCCTGTGCCTTTAGCTGAATTCTCAGCTGTCTATAGTGTAAACTTTAATTTATTTTTCCCCCTCTCTGTGGGTGATTTTACCCTGAGGTGATACTGGGTTTATGTAAATTGTGCATCCATCTTGAAATGCCAACAGGTGTATTGTAAGTTTTGATGTGGTGTGTGAAAAGGCAGAGATGCTGTGGAACACCTGCAGCAGTGGCCACCAGGAGGGGAAGGTTTGGAGCTGTGTGCCCGGCAAGGGGCTGGGAAGGGCTGGAGCTGGAGCAGCCCCAGGAACATCCCCAGGGCTCGGAGCAGGGATGGAGCTGATCCCCAGGAACATCCCCAGGGCTCGGAGCAGGGATGGAGCTGATCCCCAGGAACATCCCCAGGGCTCGGAGCAGGGATGGAGCTGATCCCCAGGAGAATCCCTGGGGCTCGGAGCAGGGATGGAGCTGGAGCAGCCCCAGGAATATCCCCAGGGCTCGGAGCGGGATGGAGCTGATCCCCAGGAACATCCCCAGGGCTCGGAGCAGAGATGGAGCTGATCCCCAGGAGAATCCCCGGGGCTTGGAGCAGGGATGGAGCTGGAGCAGCCCCAGGAACATCCCCAGGGCTCGGAGCAGAGATGGAGCTGATCCCCAGGAGAATCCCCGTGGCTCGGAGCAGGGATGGAGCTGATCCCCAGGAACATCCCCAGTCCTCGGAGCAGGGATGGAGCTGATCCCCAGCTCTCCCTCTGCAGCTGCTCGGGGCTGGATCGAGGAGCACAAGTCAGACAGAGCCGTCACTTGATTTTTTTCATTTTTCAGTGGCTGCCAAGAGCTACATAAGCCCCTGAACTATGTCAGAACTGGAGGGAGAACAAAGGTGCCCTGAGTTTGCCTTTCCCTCCTGCCCTGCTGCCTCCTCTGCACTCAGGAGCTCTGTGAGCCCCGGGGTCTGTGGGACACTGCAGGGCTGTGCAGTCACATGGGTGAAAATCCATGTTCCAAAATGTGAAACCTGCAGTTCTCAGCGCTGTGCTTCAGGCAGCCAGCCTGCTGCGCTGCCCTGCTGGAGGTACCAGGCTGCAGAAACTTTGCAGAAGGAAAGATGAGTTCCTCCCCTCTGAATAAAACTGGAGAAATTCTCTGGGATCCAGAGGCTGGGTGGAAAATGCATGATGTGAGTAGGCTCAAAATTGAATTAATTACAAACTCTTACAATTTTTAGTCACTTGAAATGGGGTCAATTTCAAATCAATCTCTTAGCAAGATGAAACACACTGACTTCAAAACGAGTTTTTGCGGTGATACATCACAGCACTTATCAAATTAACAAAGGGCTGAGCCAGCAGGTAGTGAGGTCCTCAGCTGGGGCTGAGCCTTCTTCCAAGGGCAGGTATTATTTTTAAGTCTAATAGCTACCCTTATGGAAAAAGCAAAACTTCTCCACGTATATTTTACCAAACTGGCCGGCTTTTCTGAGCCCGTTTGGGCAAAAACTGAGAGTCAACACATCTTTTTTTAGATTTTTTTTTCTTTTTAAACTTAGATCAGTGTCCACTGCCAGCTGTACTGGAATGGACAAGTTGCAGGTTTTGTTCCTAGAGGGAGTAGCTGTTAATACTCGTGATTAGCCCATCACCTTCCCCGACAGCCACAGGGGAAGGTTTCAAGAGGATGTTTCTCAGCTGGAAAGTGCCAGCCAATGGCTTAGTCTGGATCGATTAACGAGGTTTGTCCTGTTGCCGGGGCTCATTTTTATTATCCAGACTTCCCTTCTGGGAATAGCCTAAATAGATGGAATCGGTGCTTCTGCCCTAAGGGTGTGGCAGTTGGGATTTGAGGTTGTTTCTTCTCCCTCCTTTCTGATTCACAGGTTTGTAAGGAACTAACACTTTTTTAGAGGATTTGTGCTGGACATGTGAGGACACTCATGAGGACAGCGACCAGGAACTCAGAACCTTCTACATGGGTTATACAACCAGCAGTTACCACATACAGGAGTTGAATCCCTTTTCTTGGCAGATGTGCCATTGGCAGGGGGCTCAGCCTGGAGAAAAGGAGGCTCAGGGGGGCCCTTCTCACTCTCCACAACTCCTTGACAGGAGGGTGCAGCCAGGTGGGGGTCAGGCTCTGCTCCCAGGGAACAGGATGAGAGGAAATTGATATTTCAGATATTTGGAAACATTATGTACTTTGTGTGTATCAGTATTTTTAAATGATGTTGTGTAATTACTCAGTGGTGTTTGCTAGTATTTCTTATGAGTTCCCAGGTGCCCACAGTGCCTGCACAGACATCCCCAGGCTGTGAGCGAGTCTGGGCCTCTGCAGCACAGCCCCGACACCCCAGGCCAGAGCAGCGCTTTCTCTCACCACACAATCTGCAGTTTCTGACATGGATGCTTCCCTTCACACAAGGCTGGGCAGGCAATTTCTGTGCTGATCACCATAGAAACCTGCAGATCCATCACTTGGTCCGACCGTTCCCATGCTGTAGCAGGGAGCTGGCATCAGAAAATGCAAATAAGGGGCGGGAGAGAAGCTTGGTGAAAGCGGTGCCTTTCTTCTTTATT